ATTAACTTCTTGGGGAATAGAACATAAGACGGTGACGGAATATTGGCCGCAAGCAAATGGGCAAGTTGAGAGATTTAATCAAGTTCTCGAGAAACACATCCTAACCGCACAGGCGGAAGGAAAAGCGTGGAAACCCACCATTCCAATCATGCTACTCCACTACCGCAATACTCCTCATAGAATGACCGGAAGAACACCTTCATCATTGCTAATGAACCGAGAAGTCAAGACGAAACTTCCTAGTTTTGAACAACAGACAAACGATGAAACTGAAACTCGCAAGAAAGATGAAGAGGAGAAAGAGAAATCAAAGAAATATACCGACAAGAAGCGAAAAGCAAGTCCAAGAAATCTTGAAGTCGGAAATAAAGTACTAGTTACTCAAAAACATCGAAACAAATTTACGACAAAGTTTCATCCTGATCCAATGGTAATCACCAAAATAAACGGCACGCAGATAGTGTTAAAAGACAAGAATGGCACACAACATCGCAGAAACTCATCGCATGTCAAGGTATACCAGGAAATTCCTGATCCTGAAGAAGAAATCCAGAGTGATCGCAAGCATGACAGACAAACGGAAAGTCGCCAAGAAAACACCGAAGCAACTCAAACAGAAACCAACCAGAATACTACAGTAACGGAAATTGTTCTACGTAGATCAACGAGAAATAGAAAACAACCAGACTATCTAAAAGTAGGTTAAGTTAGTCAAGTTTAAAATGCAGACTGTTGACATTTATTTAGTTTTAAAGAACACGGTAATGAAACCCCGTAATAGTAATTCCAAGACACTAAGTCTTAGAACGGAACTACAAAGTAAAGAACTACATAGAATTAGAGACTTTAGAAACTTTAAAGGTTGATATTTTCATAACTATAATTAAGGAAGGGATGTTGTATCCAAATCCTGATTGGACAGCTGAAGTGATTGACATATAAGATTAGGTCACGAGACATTAGATTAGGAGACGCTAAGCCAGAGAGCAAGTTTACATGTACAATATAGCAGAGTAAATATATGTTATAAAAGTTGAATAACAGAGGATATAAAAATCACGCAATCCTGCACGGAAAACCATTCGGTATCCTTTAATACATTAATTATGCAAAGTAAGTCAATCCAAAAGCAACGCGAGCCTGCTGCAAGCTATTTGTTTCAGAAAACGTTTTGATAACGAATGTTCTCTGTTCAGGGGTTAAACCAAATTCGTATTGAGTTGTTGTCTCACTAAGACGAAGATTGACGAGTTGAGCTTATTTTAGATAATTTAACATTCAATTTTAATTCCCTCTTGGGAATTGTTTATGTTTCGTTTTCGATGCAATTCCCAACGGTGGAAGAATGTGATTTCGACAGGCAATTTTTATTTGACGAGTATGTGGCCATTTCTCATCGTTACGACTTGAAAAGTGTATCATCGAAAAGCTAAATAACTGTTCTTTCGTCCTATGTAAAAATTGAATTGTTTAGCCACGTTTATGATGCATGACATCCTGTTTAATTTCCGTAGCGGTTTTTTTAGACACCCTGTATATTGGATTAAATGTTGTTAATATAACAAGCCTTCGTTGGTCCCTAGCTAGGAGAATTTCGACGTTTTGAGCGAAGATCCTTCTTCTGGAGTCACTGCGGGGTGGGGGGCACATGAACGCGTGCATGAACGTTTATACTAAGAATATAAAAGCGATCATATGAAAAAAAAACCCAATCAGATGGATTTATTAAAAAAAAGTATAAACAAAAAATGTAAACATAATGTTCAACAGACTGATTATCATCATTGTCAATGGCTGCGCGTCGAGGCTCACCACGAGACGCAATAGATGAAATGGGAGGAGGTATACACGTTAAATGGTGCTTGACATGGTATTGCGCTCGATTTTGGTGCCGAAATGGTGGTGGCATGTAGAATCTACAAAATCACATGTTTTCCATTTGGCAACCCGGCCGGTAAGGAAATGTTCATTCTGCGTGACGACAAATCCTGTGATAGTAAGCTATGAATTAGGATTTCATGGATATGTTTGGCATATCGAAGAGAGTAACGCCTGTATTGTAAAAGATCGCTCAAACTCACACTCAAAGAGTGTAGGTTAAATCCGAGCTTCCCATGAGTGTCAGTGCTGTTTTTGAATAGCTGGATGGTTAGTATCGTACCTTAATTACTACGTGACTACTAACCCATCAGCTATTCCACACTCTTTGAGTGCGAGTGAGCTTTTAGAATACAAGCGTAAGGGGTTATCGGAGAAAATGGAAGATGTTTGGGGGTCGTGTTTCAAAACATGGGAATTCTTTCTCATGACATCTCACTTTGAAATTGAAAGGATGATAAGTTATAATACTAGGGGGGATTGTGTTGTTACCTGTGACATTGGACACAGGGTCTGTAAGAGTCTGAGCTCGTGGAATTTGGGATGCCTTCGAAAAGGCAGTGCCTAATAGCTATAGAGAGGTTGGATAGTCTCATTGGACAAAAAGATGTCTCATTTCCAGACTTTTGGTTTGAGAGTCCTTGTCTTTACTGAGAATGCGGCGAAAGAATTGTGAGAAGGAAATAGACCTTTTGGTGTGGCTGGGGTGGGAAGAGGAAAATAGTAGATGGCTGTGGGAGTCGGTAGGCTTGCAGAACACAGAAGCAGGGGCGTAGCGTGTGGGGTGTGTGTGTGTGGGGGGGGACACCCCCCAGTTTTAGTGAGGTAGTCGGTAAAACGCGAAGTTACTCGCTAATGGCAAGAGCCATGACAGCGGTCGGTAAAACAAATCGGTTCCCCAAGTGGAATTTTGCTCCTCGGTAAATGGCTTTTAAAAATCAATAAAATTAAATGAATGATGTGCCTTGTTCTCCAATAAAATTATGCAAAATGTACGTAATTCTTCGGTAATCACTTACATTAAATATTTACGCATAAGCATTGCAGTCGTCTCTAATTTCCTATCGTATTACACTTGCAAGCGAGCTGCGAAAACAGTCGGTTCTGATTGGACATGTTCAACTGTGCGCGAACTTTTGACCTTGATACAATGATACACCAGAGAATTAAAGATTATATTTATTTTTTAATTATTGACACGCGGTGCTCAAGATAAATGTCATTGAGTAAAATGACTTATCGCGAAGTAACAAACACAACAATTATTCGGAATAATATTTTATTCCAAAATAATAAAGCGTTTGCTGCGTTTCTGGTTTTACGTTATTTATAGACGGCAGAGTGGCAGACTAAAGTCACGGTAAGTGTCATTAAATTAAACGCGCGCCGAAATATTTATTTGTCAATTGCTGTATAGTTGTTATGGTATATGTTATATGTAGCGTATAAGGGCGCGGTCACGGATTCTACTAAAACCTCACGGTGAGCTCACACTCACAGCTTGTTAATATCTCACGGATTCTCACGGTTCTTAAATATGTTGGCTTTGTTGCACAATTTAACTATTAAGAGTGACTTCATTAAGTTTATTTGCGTCAAATTAAATAAAACTTTTTCCTTCTGAAATACATAATCGAAACATCGCTACATGCAACCTCGTGGGTATTCAACAATATGGTTTTGTTTAATATAAATAAAAGCTACCAAAACTTGTGTGTATAAGGCACAGAAGACTCTGAAAATGCCATTTCCAACGATCTAGAGACTCCACATTTTCAAAAATTTTCCGCTAGGCGCCAACCATGGTGGTGCCTCGTGGCGCCGTGGGTCCCCCAAAACAAAATCTCACGCTTGTTTTTCGCCAAAGTTGGCAACTATGGGATAATGCATGCATGCAGCATGTACTGATCCATGACAATGCTCGCATTTAGTCTTTTTATTCTTAATAGACCTTGCCGATTATTCTCTTTTACACAACATCATTTGCCCTAAACTTATTTTAAAAGCATGTCAGGAGCAGACAAAGACTATATTGCCATGTTTTCCTGGAGGAATTTGTTTCTTCATTGCTATTCTCAGGCTCAATAACAAAATAATTTTCAATCCTACTAAGCACAAAACATGAGTACTAAGTTGAGTTGACATCAATTTTCATTGAAAACGAGGCCATTGGATAAAACAGATTCTTTCGCTTCAAGTGCCACGTGGTCGTCGGTAAAACTTAGATGCTACACCCTTCTCCCCCCAGTTACAAAGGTCACGCTACGCCCCTGTACAGAAGTAACTAGTATTTACAAAGGTATTTTTGTATGGCATTTTCCTTATAGTTAATAGCCCAAATTGGTTGGCAAAATTGCATTACTCACTTATATATTGTAGTTCTTTGTGATATTTCTAATGACTCAGGTGATGTGTATAGTAAAAGAAAACTTTTTTGAATGTGGAAATTTATAAGAAAATTTATAAAAATGCTGTTCTGTCCCAACCATGGGCAAATCTGAGCTCGATCTCGAGATGCAAATCTGAAATCTTATTGTTACATGAGTGCTAATCATACTATAATCATTGTGTCAAAGTTTGTGCTCTCTTCACAAATTAAATTATTTTTCTGACCGATGTGCTGGACTGTAAACTTGGACAATGATCGAACAGAGACATTGTGTCATTTTTACTCGCTCTTCTATAACTATTAAAATGGTAATATTGTAATATTTGGATAATTTTAAAAAGAAATGTAATATATTTTTATCATAACAAATGCATGTTCATTAACATTGTCAAAATCTCCAGCTCTAAAGAAATTAGATGAATTGATCAGAAATAAAAATGTATTAAAGAAAAACCAAATTTGCAATTCACCTTGTGATATGATATGAAATGAAACATTTAATCAAAATTGAACTTTATTTACCATAAAGATACTCATGACAATATATTTCCTCCTAATATGATTGAAATGTTACCTATTAAAGACTAATATTCGACATTAATCGCACTTAAAGATGGCTGAAATCTGTTTTCACAAAATTATAAAATATTCCTGCAAAGCAATAAGATGACAAAAAATAATTCAAGAAAATGTTACAGTACATTCATCGGCATAGGCTATTTTGGCATGCATGTTAACTTTTTGTATTAAACCCAGTAACGGCCCAGTTCTGGCATCGCTTATAATTATGCTGTCCTGTTTCATTTACCTGCTTGTTCAAGACCTCTCGTGAATCTGGACTATTCAGAAGCTGCGCCCAGTCGTTGAGAATATTTCTGAAGCATTTGTTTACTTTATCGTTGATAAAAGCCATGGTTCCTGAAGGTGTTGCCATCACATATATCAGGATGTGATTGAGGGGTGCACTACCAAGCGTACTACCGTACTTGGGAGCGCTGGTAATGATGGTCTGCATCTTCTGCAGCATATCCATGTAGTCTGAGATTGGATTCTCTTGAGGTGGGTCAAATTCTTGAGTAAACATGGTCGCGAAGAGCATGTTTACCTCTGGGTCGGTTTCAATCAGATCCTGCAAGGCTAACAGTGAAGGATGGGTAACTTCGCGAGCTATACGCATTCCTTTCACATATTTGCTGATAGTTTTCAAGTCAGCGGTAACCCAGCGCCCAAGTGTATAGGTTTTTGACATTTTTGCAAGGAATGTTTCTACAAAAGGCGTAAATGTAAAATAAATACAATAAAGTTACACGTTTGTAACACCTCAATGATGCTAAATTTCTGCATGGGTGTTGTTACAACACGAAAGTGGTGTATAAATAATAGCAGCTCCGTAGATACTGATTTAGAGTAAATGTTACACCATTTTTGTGTTAGTGCGATCAATCGTGTAATTTACACCAAATGAGTGTGTTGCAACACTATTTACTTTATACATGTAGTTGTATTGAATCTCCAAGACCTTTTAACATTGTCAGAAATATATTAATTTTTCACCAAACTTTCACAAAAAAATGTTAACACTTTCAATCTTGAAGAAGAATGTTACAATTTAGTTTTTCTTACTGAAAAGAGCTTTAAAAATAAACAAAACTTCAGTTTTCGACAAAATTCGTGTTTTGCCTTTCAACGATCTCAACAAGTCTATAGACAAAAATTTATCACGGCTTGAAAGAGCATCACAAAATTAGTAATATTCCAAAATTTCGTTGCGAAATGTTGTAAAATGCGGATAATATAGCCTTGCGAAGTTTGCAATTTTCAGTCATGTTGTGTTACGCGCGGGAAATGCGTAGAGAGGTATATATACACTATGTATTTCATGCGCGTAATACAATATGACTGAAAATTGCAAACTAGGCAAGGCTATATTATATCCGCGTTTTACAACATTTCGCAACGAAACTTTGGAATATTACTAATTTTGGGGCTGTTCACACATAGCAACGTTGAGATCGGTCTAATTTTGGATCGATCTTGTAGCGATCCGAGATCGCGCGAGCCAAATTTAGTGGAATGTCCACACTTGCACAGAACTTTTGCAGTTAACGTACCAAATTATGGGGACTGGGGTCAAGAATCAAGATCAATTTTCAATATGGCGGATTCGGACACCGCGATTGTAGGATTGGCAATAATAGCAAGAGATTTAGCTAAGAGGTTAAAAAGGAGACAAAGAAAGTGGGAAAAATATTTCTTTCGTAGAAAGAAAAAAATGGCCATTTTATTTCTAAGACTAAGTGAAATCTATCTACGTCGAGAGACGGTGCTAAGAAGGTTCTGGCAAGAGCCAAGCAGAGGGAAAAGTTTATTTTGGGAAAGAACCGCAAGTCAGTGGGTCGATGACAATCTCTGGGTTGAAAATTTCCGCATGTCGAGAAATTCTTTTCTTGCAATCTGTAGAGAATTAAGCGAAGTCTTACACAAGAAAGATACAAGGTTTCGTAAAGCCATTACTCTCGAAAAAAGAGTAGTTGTTTGCTTGTGGCATCTTGCAACAGGCGAAGACATGAGATCTTTAGGCTGGCGATTTGATATTGGCAAGAGTACAGCTTGCCAAATTGTTAATGATGTGTGTGAGGCTATAGCTGTTGTGCTTTTACAAAATGTCATTAAATGGCCAACAGGAGAGGCATTGAAATCCGTATTAAAAGGGTTTAAAGAAGAATGGCAATTTCCACAGTGTGCAGGTGCTATAGATGGGACACATGTCCCAATTGCTGCTCCATCAGAATACCCATCCAATTATTATAACAGGAAGTGTTTCTACTCAATTATCATGCAGGCTGTAGTGGATCATGCATACAGGTAAACAATAAAAGTGCAAATAAGTTCATAACGTGCAACCTTTATAGTGTATGTAATCTACAAGATACTCTTTTAAATACTTTTAGATTTATAGACATCTATATCAAATGGCCAGGAAAGGTGCATGATGCTAGAGTGTTCTCTAATTCATCTCTGTTTCATAAGGGTCAACAAGGGCAACTTTTCCCCAACGTAAGTATGAGATGTGATGAAATTTGTTAAAGATATCATGGTATTATAACGTTTAGATGGATCCCATTCCCATAACCCTTTAAGTGGAATGCACCCTGATGTGCCCTAAAAGATAATACAGTTACCTTTATTTAGTGGACAGAAAATATCGGTAATTGTGAAGTTCCAATTACACTAATTGGAGATGCAGCCTACCCTTTGTTACCCTGGCTAATTAAGGGATTTCAAGATGATGGAAATCTCTCACGAAGTCAAATCCAGTTCAATAGAAGTCTTAGCAGCGCACGTATGGTAGTAGAAGGAGCATTTGGCCGTTTGAAGTGTCGATTTCGTTGTCTTCTTAAGAGAAATGATACAAGCCTGCAGAAGTTACCTGTCAAAATTGCGGCGTGTTGTGCTTTACATAATATATGTGAAATGAATGGGGAAAAGTTTAACCCAGAGTGGCTTCAGAATGATGTTAATAATAATATCAACATAATTAATGATGTTCACATCCCTGACGCAACTGCCATAAACATTCGACAAGCACTAACTAATTTCTTTAGTGCACAAAATGCGTAACATATTAACAAAAACTGATGCATGCAAACTATACCTTTACAAAGGCTGCGTTTTGCCTTTTTGGTTCATAAAAACGTTAACAGTACCAAAATTATGTAATTAATATGGTCATATGTTTGATAAACTGTTCCTCTTTTATAATTTATTATAATTTATAATATGTTTTGGTGCTGTTTTCATCTTCAAAATAAAACTGATTACTGAGAGGTTGTTGCACAGTTGGCTGCTGTCTGCTTGAAATGGCATTGGCCAGTAATGCCATCGAATCAGCATATGCCTTTAATTCTTGTTTTCGTAGCTCAGCATCAACTTTAACCTGGTTTTTCATTTCTTCCAAAATTTTTTCATCTGATTCCTTTTGGGATTTTGTAAATTCATCCATACATTTTTGAAATTCTTCTTGTTTTGACAATCTTTGCTTCTTCTTGTTACTTCGTATTGATCCTATAATATTGCGTTTTGCATTTGATGGCTTTGATCCACTGGCTTCAGAATCTTGTGCATCAAGATCTGGAGTTTCATGGCCAACAGCTTTTTCTAACTCAGACATAATTTCTGAAGCATTGTCATCATCATCATCACCATCTTCACTTGAATCATGGATATCTTCACCTATTAAGATAATAACAATATAACATTCTAACTGCCACTCTGTTATGCACTAATATATCAACCTTCCATGGCCAAGCAGTTCAATTAATTATAAAAACCTTGTATCACAATTTACAATGGGTTGTTCCAGAAAAGATCCATACTCCCCCCACGGAGGAAATTTCTGCCGTCCGGAGGGGGAGGGGAGAAACATTGTTCCTGATAATAGTAAATGTATTAGGACATCCAAAGGGGGTAGGAGGGTTAATATCCTCTGTGGGTGTGGTATGGATGTTTTCTGGAATAACCCAATGCACATAAAACTTGTACCTGCTTCTTTGCAACCACAATCAGAGCACTCAAAATCATCATCATCAGAAAACACACCAATGCATCCATTATCACTGATGTGAACCCCAGATGTTCGAATCTTTGTTGCAGTACCACAGTTTATGCATTTTTTCTCTAACTTTTTCCCTTCACCATATTTTTT